AGAGAGAGAGAGAGAGAGAGAGAGAGAGAGAGAGAGAGAGAGAGAGAGAGTTCTTCTTCCTCTTCTTCTAAGTCGACCATCTCTTCTTCCCCTCTCACCACCTGACTTCTCAGTATCAGCGGACTACTACAGAGAGAGAGTTGTGACTTGAGACTTGACGACATTGGATCCAGACACGACATTGGGATTCAGACATTTGACGAGGGACTACTTGGGCGTGTGCCGAAGACTTGGTGTTGACGACATTCCCATCTTACCCTCTTCTTCGTCTAACCCCCCTCTTCTTCGTCTGTGTATGGTTCGGGGCTGGCGCATTCTTCCTGTGTGAGCGCCAGGCCCCCTTCACACCGTGGGGATGATGATGATGATGTATGTTATGGGCTGCACTGCAATATTGATTTTTCGGATCATTGGTATCTTACTTTGTATTGAGAGGTCGGTTCGTGTTCTGGTCTGCACCTTTACGGTATGCAACACAAAGATTGCAGCGATTCGTGATTGGCCTAACCCCCGCACTTTGACTGAGTTGCGGTCGTTCCTTGGGCTAGCCAACTATTATCGGAAGTTCGTTAGACACTTCACGATAATTGCTGCTCCCCTTCGCAGATTGCTAAGGAAAGAAACTATCTGGAAGTGGGACTCAAACTGTAAAGCTTCATTCACGCGTTTAAAGAAATGTTTGATTAATTATCCGGTTTTGAAGGTTGCTGATCCTTCATTGCCCTTTGTAGTCACAACCGACGCCAGTCAGCATGGGATAGGTGTTGTACTCCAACAAGATGATGGAAACGGATACAGGCCTGTTGACTTCATGTCCCAACGACTGCCTAATGAGAAGGTCGCCGTTTCTACGTATGAGAGAGAGTTGTTTGCTCTCCGGGAAACCTTGGATCATTGGCGACACTACCTCTTAGGACGCCAGTTCAAAGTGTACTCAGATCATGAGACATTTCGCTGGCTTAAAACACAGACCCGGATGACACCTAAATTGACTAGGTGGGCCGCAGAAATTGATCAATACGATTTTGAGCTGAAGCCAGTTAAGAGTAAGTATAATGTTGTCGCCGACGCATTAAGTCGAAGATCATATTTCTTCGGTGCCATTGTAACATATTTAGATGTGGGCACCGACCTGCAAAAAATAGGAATGCGTATTCCACAAATCTTGTTTATGGCGCTACACTTAAGCGTGTACAAGAAGCGTCAGCAGAGTTTCCTAACTATCGTATCACACAAGGACTCTTGTTTGAAAGGACTGATGTGCATGATGGACTTTGTATTCCGAATGTGGAAGAGATCAAGAGTTCTTGGGGGAGTGTCACGATACCGAGGGCCATTTTGGGTGGAGGAAGACCTACGCAAACCTTGTGCGTTCCTACACCTGGCCTCGTATGAAACCAAACTGCATTGCATATGTGCAGGGTTGTCAAGTGTGCCAAAGAAATAAGAGCACTACACAGCCTCCCCTTGGTCTACTTAAGCCTTTGCCAATTCCAACAGGTCCAGGAGACTCTGTGTCTATTGATTTTATGGACACTAAGGTAAAAAGCAGGAATGGAAAGACGCAAGCCATGGTCATCGTTGACAGATTTAGTAAATATGTCGTTTTCGTAGCTTTACTAGCGGAAGCAAAAACGGAGCTGGTAATCCGGGAGTTCTTTAACCATTGGGTGAAAGACTATGGACATCCCTTGACAATTGTGAGTGACAGAGATACACGGGTCACGAGTGAACAATGGCACCAACTAATGAGCGTCTACAACTCTAAATTGACTATGTCTTCAGGTAGGCATCCTGAGACAAACGGCCAAACTGAGCAAATGAACAAGATTTTGCAGCAGACGCTGCGTATGTACATCCGTCCCGATCAGAGTGACTGGGACGAGCATTTGCCCAAAGTTGCTAATGCTTATAACAACTCTGTTCACCTATTTTCGTGTAGGACTCCAATGGAGTTGCATTTGGGGTGGCGTCCGCGCAGGCCTATTGATCGGCTAAACCCGGATAAAGTGCATAAGCTTCCACTAGGAACAAGTGAGTTTGCTATACAATACCAAAAAGATATAGAAAAGGTAAAGGAAAATATCATAAAGGCACAACATCAAATGATTGAACAGGCAAATAAGCACAAAAGACCTTCTCAGTTTACTGTAGGTGATCTAGTATACGTTAAGTCTAAGGAGTTTGTTCTTGAAGAGAACATATCTCAAAAGCTGCTACCTGCCTACAGAGGACCTTGGCAGGTTCTAGATGTGATAGGAGATATGGATGGACCTTCTTATGTTATTGAGATTCCTCTGCACTTACACACGTATCCAGTATTCCACGCTTCGAAGCTCTTACCTTGCGTAACCAATGAGTTGTTTCCAAGTCGCAGATCAGCGATACCTCCTAGTATGGATGGAAAATACGACGTGGATAAGATTGTTGCTGAAAGTACCTTCCAAACTGGACGTAGAGGCAGACCACAGCGGCAGTATAAGGTGAGGTTCACTTATCAGGATCCAAGTGAAGATCGCTGGTTCACACGGGAATAATTAATGGATTCTGCACTTCATATTGTGTCTGCATATGAAAGAGCGAGAAGAGGGATAAGTATTATAGATAGATGAAGATTTTCTCAGAGGACCTCGAAATTAGGCCGGCGAGAGTAAAAGGGCCTTTACCCGATTCAGACCCTGCTCGACAAATACAACATAGAGGGGTCACTCGCCAGGGTCCAGCTCGTGAAAGCAGATCAAAGGGCATGTTCTCTGGGTCAAAAGTCACATCCTAGTTAAATCAAAAGCCAATGTCAAAGGTCACAGTTGTGCCCCCTGAACGAACAGTTGTAATGTTTAGATTTGGAGGTCACCTCTGTTCGTCCAGAGGGTGTGTAGGTCATGTTTGTTCAGGTAAGAGATGTGTCTGTTCGTACAGTATGAGTGTCGTCTGTTCATGCAGAATGTGTGTCTGTCCAAAAGGAAGTCAAAGGGCAGGTTTCCAGTTCTGTCTAAGTCTAATAGGGGGTCTAGATTCAGACACCCAGTCCGAAATCTAGGCCAAATGGCCGCAGCAGCAGCAGACCCTGAGGGGAAAGTACAGAGACACACACATATGCATAGGTCTGGGACTGAGGAAGGCCCGAAGTGCCAATACAGGCCAATGCAGACCTCGCCAGGGGAGGCCAGCAGTATAAAGCAATAGGCCAGCCTCTCTCGACATCAGATTCCCACTGGCATATTGGCGTGGAAGTGCTGTATGCACTTGTGCGCTGGCTGGCTGGGTTAGCACTGGAGGAGAAGCTGCGCTGATAGGAGGAAGAGAGTTGGGCGCTGGCTTGCAAGTGGCAGCCATATCTGCGCCAGCTAGTTAGTATAGATAGTGGGTTAGTAGTTAGTCTACAGTGAGTAGCATTCAAAGTAGATCTTCGTAGTAGGAGTGTGCATGTATGGTGGGACAAGAGAACCAAGTCTGAGATCCAAGAGAGAGAAAGAGAGTGGGGTAGGATCTGGCTATGGTGGCTACTTACCTGCTGTGCGCTGTACTTGAGTTCTAAAGGTGGCGCTGGCTGAGCCAGGCCCCATTCGTGAGACGGAAGGAAGAAACTTGTGACAATGTTGGGCGCTGAGGTTTGGATCTCGATTTACTCTTGTATAATGTGTTAATTATTAATTGAGTTGCGCATCTTGGTTCTATCCCATCTCATTTGGACTATGTGTGAGCTTCATCTTGTGTGTGAGTCATTGTCCATGCATGCATTGTGATACACTCCAGCAAGAGGAGGACAGTCAGGTCCCTTGCAAGACTCTTCACATTGGTAAAAAAGAATCATGCTAACCATACGACTTTCTCCTTCATTGACTATTTCCTGATCTCATGGACACTAATGGGGACAACTAAGAGCGTCAAGATCTTGTCCCTTGCAACGTGCCCGGGTCTGGACCACACACCCATCGAACTCATAATCAGTTTCGAACAATATGTCAAAAAGGACTCCAGCTTTTACAAACTCGATAAGACTTTTCACGTAAGAGTTCAAGATTGTTGGCAGAAATTGAGGGGCGCCTGCCTACCAATACCGGATCGGTGGGAGTGGTTTCAGGAAAGCTACTCTACATTATCACAGACGGTTGTGAGAGTCTAAAGGAATTTAGCGGTCGACAGGAAACAGAGGAAGCAAGCGCTGGAGACAACATTGAAGATCGCAGAGACTTATCTGATTGATAATGCCTCCTCTGTATTTTACACAGACATGTTCGAAAAGGCAAGAGAAGAACTCACTATGTGGAGATGGTGGGAATTAAAGGGACTACAAATAAGAGCCAAAATGAACGAATGAGTCAATGTCAAAACACTTCTTCGCAAAAACCAAAGCAAACTCAAGGGCCAACGTGATAGAAGGCCTGAAAACCCTCTCAAATCCAACTGAAACAGTGATAGACAGCGAAGGGATGTTGAACGTAGCCAAGGAATTCTACGAAGAGCTCTATCACACGGAGACCCCTATGCCTACTCCACCCAGCGCCAAGAGGCTCGGACTAGGATGCTGAAATACCTGGAACAAACGATATCTCAAGAATAAGCAGAAGCTTTGGACAAGCCCATCACCATTAAAGAACTGCAATTTGTTGTCCAAAATATGAACAACAATAAGTTTTCAGGAATTGACGGGCTGACAAAAGAATTCTGGGAAAAGTTATGGCTGCTCTTAGGGGGCGATTTGCTTAACTTCTACAACGGCAGCGGGCTCAATCGGGGACTGGGAAACCTACTGAGCAACAGTGTGGTCACTTTGTTGTACAAAAAAAGAGAGAGAGAAGATATC